ATTAAGTAAAATTAATTGCAAAAAATTGACTTCGAAGTAAGTGTAGGAAGGTATCAGAAATCTTATTGTAACATTTTTTTCATACTTTACAATTTTCCTAGACTAACAACTCCCAGTTTCCTTATATTTTATTTTTATTGCATTACAAAGCCCAATTCTCAAATATATGAAAACCAAACCTCACATGTATTTCAAAATAGAGAAAATCGTGTGAAAATGTTAGTTAATTCAATAATTAAAGTAGAATTTTGCATATTCTTCCGCCTAATAAATCCATATTTAAATGCTTTTTACCAAAATTTGGGTCTGTTACTGAGATCTCACATATCTATGAAATCACTCATAAAAATATTTTGAAGCACCATTAAATTGTTTATAATTCACTTTATTTTTTTAAGGTATGCGAGCCAAGATAAACTTAATAAAAGTTGAAATATTAAAAATTTTGGGATTTTATTCAGTTTTTAAGTTTATTATTTAAACAATATATTTAATAATATTAAAATGGTTTAATTTCCGTAATATAACACTCAATATTATTTTAGAAAATAATTTTTATTTAATAATGCTTCTTATATGTACACAAAAATCCAAATCTCATTTTGAATATTTAAAAATTTATTTCTGAAATTATTGATAAACTTTTATAAATTTAATTTCTTCTATTTAATTTGGGGAAAAGCGCATAACATTCAATACATTCATAGCTTTAATTGAATTAATTTTAAATTCTTAAATCTTTTAATTTTTATAGAAATAAATCAGATACACATATATTAAGTGTATTAAGATACACACACATTATAATGCGTGTATTTTGAAAATAAAATGTAAAATTAAATGCCCTGTTTCAAACTAAAATTTAAAAAGATCTTTAAAAAAAATTTTATTTTGAAAATTTTTAATACAGTACACGGCTTTTCCTTATTTAAGAGTACCTACAAATGAACAAATAGTTAATTGGAAAAAATATTTAATATTTTATTCAGAAAATTTAATTTATCTTATTCTTATTTTGAATAGGGCATCTAACTCTTTTATATGAAATGATATTTATAAAAATTATAAAATCTTGAATTGTAAAATTTTTTTAATTATTATACATTAAATGAATGTAACTTCAGGAATGTCAAAATTAAAATATACCAAGTTAACAGGTAATTTATGGTTAAGGCTTCAAAAATTAATAAAATCCCAAAAATCGTACAGAGTTGTCCGAGAAATAAAAATAATTCAAATTTAAATTAAATCCCAAAAATTTACAAAAGGAAAAAAAACTAAATTATGAATGAACACAAATTTTATTTAAAAATCTTATTTGAAGAGGGCAAAATAATTTTAATTATAAATTTTCTTAAAATTTATAATTAAAATTACTTATTATTAAAATTTATAATTAAAATAACATATACTTTCAAAATGCAAATTTTTCTGTAAGTTCATTAAGAAATTGTGAAAATATTTTTAGAATATCCTTGATTTTTCTTAAAAAATAAAAAAAAACTCCAAAATTCCATAAAGCAATTAAAATATTAATACATTTATTAAATACACAAATATTTATTAAAAAAAATCATTAAGGATATTATTTTTTAAATTAATAATTTAACACAAAAATATAATAACATTGAATTTTAAGGATATAATAATTTAACCAATACATACACTATAATAACATACAAGAATTATATTTAACCGCACTGAGGATTTTATTAAAATACAATTTGTTAAATGGTTATATCGATATTTGAAAATTTTTCTTTTTTCACAAAAGATATACAAAAAGCTTAAAATATTAATTTTATAATAATTGTTTTATTATGCATGTAGTTTTTTTCTTTTTGTAATTTATAAATTTATTTATATACGAGTACAAGGACATTAAATTAATATTTTTCAATGTAAAATTAATAATAAAACAATTAATTTTATTTCTACCCTATATGAAATATTTTCATAAAATTTATATAAAAAGGCTTATATTTATTAATAGCGACACAGTAGGCGATAATTTTAAATTATTTTGAAATTGAATACTTTTTTTTTTTAAAAATATAAGCAACCACAAAATCATTACAATTTTTTTTTTGTTGGTGTAGTGTTTTTATATTTAAAAACTAACTTAAATACAATGTGATATTAAGAACAAATGATCTAAATCGATTTGTTATAAATTAAAGATATCGCAATATTTAAGCTGGCTGCATTCAAATCCATAATCAAGGAAATTTCGGTTCAATTTGGATAACTCTTAATGTATTCAAATGAATACATTAAAAGAAAAAAATAATTCTTAAAGAATTTGAGGTAAATTTAACTTAAAATCTCATAACAGAGTTTCGAAATTAAATAACTATAAATTCCAAATTTTCAATGACAGCATTAAGTTAAATTTTGCGAATCCTGTTTTATTAGGGTCTTAAAATTTGTCCTACCGATTAAATCTTTAAAATTGATTTACTCGAAACTATAAAAATTTTGACTTATACATAATTTTTAATTTTTTTTATGGTTTGTTTTTAAAAAAAAATTAAGCAATATATTGGACTTGTTATTATAATTAAATTGAGCTCAACATAACAATTAAATTTAACAAAAATTATACTACCATATTATTAAAGAAAACAAAATTATTATACAACATTGTATAATACATATGTAAATCGAATTAAATTGTCCATTTATACACCATAATCCATTTTAAAATTAAAAATAATAAATTATTATTATATTGAAATTCTATTAATTTAATTTAATATTGAAATGAAATTTTTTTAAAAATTATGTTAAAACGCATACCAACATTAAAAATATACAAAAATATTACAAAATATACATAGAAAATATACACAATATAACATCAATTGATTTTCGCTTTCATTATTTTTTAATTGTGGTTTTTTTTAAATACATAAATTGTGTATTGGAATAATTAAAAATATTTATTAAATTATTTTTGGTTTTAATTAAAATTTATATGTAGCTGCAATACATAAAAAATTATATATTTTTAATATTTTTAATTATGTAAACTTAAAAATCTCAATTAACAACCTTGAATATTTAAGTAAGGCCTTTAAAATAGTATTGCTGAATACCTTTAAAAATAATTTTAATTTACATTTATATAGGAATTCCATTAGGTGCTTCTATGATATTGGATACACATTGCAGGTTTAGGTATATTTTTCAATTGAAATTAAAAAATAAAATTGACTATGCTAATTAACTATGCTAATTGAAGACAACTGCAATAAATCAAGTCAAACTAAATCAAAATGTAGTATAATTTTATATTTCGAAAAAAATTGCATATAATAGGGCTGAAAATTTAATTACTTTATTAAAATCTGATTTACTTTATTTATTAATAATTAACTAATTTTATATGAAATCCTAAATGTGAAAATACATCTTTTAGTGTAACAGTTCATACTTTATTTTGGAGCGCTATTTTCATCATTTAATCTATTAATATTTTTAGTATTTGGGGCACTATTGTAGTTGCTTATTTTCATACAATTTTTACAAGTATGAGCGTAAAATATGTACTCAAATAAAGTGAAAGGAAATATTAACAAATCGCATCTTGGGTTAATTTATTTTTCACTTGAATAGTATTCAGTTTGGAGGTTTGATAGATGGAGGTCGATTTAATTGTACAGTGTATAAGCCATTAAAAAAAGAATTGTTTTTTTTTGCCACTTTTTCAAAATGTTATTAATTTAGTTATTTACTTGTTAATGCTGACAATTATTACCGACCCCATTACAATACAACAACGGAGGTTATATTACGGCATCAAATTTCAGATGTCCAGTGTCTGTGGGAAACGCACTTCTAAGGAAGCGTAATTTAACTCTTTTTAAAAAAATGATTGTCTATCGGCCTGTGTGTCTGTGAGGCAGTCTCTCTGTGTGCCCACGCGTGTAAAATACATTGCTATCAGTTATATGCGGACCACAACCGGTTTTAGTATTTTTCCATTCCTGAAATTGTTTTCACGCTAATACCGAACGAAAAATATTGAATTTTTTAGATATTTTTAATTTTTTTTTTTGGAAATAGACAGTACTGTTTCAAAATTACAGAAAATTTTAAACTAAAAAATTTTTAAATTTAATTTTTAAATATTTGAAATTAATTATTTTTTACAATTTTATCTACTGTTTACAAATAATCAAATTTTTGTGGTATAAAAATGTGGTAATTTCCCGTTGTTTTTTTCTTAAATTTTAATTTTATTTTTAGCAGTTTATTTTTTTACCAGAATAATTAGAATACCACAAATATTTTTAGTCTCTATTATAATTTTACCACTAATTATATTATTTTTAAATTACATTGTTTATTATTTATTCAAGCCTTAGGATTATTATTAGGTCAGAATTTGTGTATTTTTTTAACAGAAAAATTTTAAATTAATTTATTTAAATTATTCCACAATATTCTCACTTAAATCTTTCATAGCATACCTATATGATAATAATGTTATGTGTGTGTGACCAAAACAAAATATAGATATCCACAAAATTAATTTTTAATTTCAAAATAATAATTTTAAATATTTAAAAAATAAATAGGTGTCGATGACAGAAACATGGTACAAAAAAAAAAAACCATAATAAAATTAAAATAAACTTTTATAAAAATTTATAAAATAAAAAAATGCGTAAATTTTAAATTAAATTCAAAGAATAAAAAAACATTTTGTAAATATTTATGCAACAGATCAAATTAAATTAAACAATTAAAATTAAATAACAAAAAAAAAGGCAGAAAAAAAAAAATAATTAAAATTGACTAAAACTTTAATGAAAAATAATTAAAATTCAATTAAAAAAATATTTAAAAAGAAAATTTTTTATAATTTCTTTTTTTTTTTTGGAAAAACAAGAACACGAAAATATTAATGAAAATTTTATTAATTATATAATAGATTTTAATTAAATTAAACCTCGTCATAAATTATTATTGTTGTTATTGAGAAAAACGAAAAAAAAAATATAAACAGAAAAAAAAATTTTAATATTTCAATTTAATTAATTAACATTTTTTTTTACTATTATTAGAAAATCAGTAAAAAGAAATAAAAAAAAAACTATTCATATGCATAAAAAACGTGTAGTTATTATTGATGATATAACGACCATTATGAGCGATAGTAAAAATTGCTCAAATTATGGCGGAAATGGAAAATTTAAAGGGTAAGTTTAAAAATTTTTTTTTTGTGTTTCTTCCAAAAATAAATTTTATTTATTATTATAATTAATTTTTATTAAATTAGAACTTTTTTTTTGATAAAAATTTTGTTTATTTTTGGAAATTAATTTATCATATTTTTTACAAATGATTTTAATTTTTTTGTCGAATCTAAAAATAAATATTATAATAGAATTTCTTCTATAACGTAATTTTTTAGTTATTTAGTTATTGTCTTTCAAATATCAGCAAATTAAGAATTAATAAAACCTGACCATTGATGCAGTGGTTATGGCACCTGCAGTGGTTTTAGTCGAAGGGTCTCGGTTCAAACCCCGGTTAGGTTACTAAAATTACAAATTACACTACTGGTATACAATACTTATTGTATTGTATTCTAATAATTGCATACAATACAAGTAATTTTCATATATTCATAATATTCGATATTAAAAAAAAACTAAGAAAAATAAAAAATAAATATTAATAATCTTAAATATTTAATATAAAAAACGACGGCCGGCTAGGCACCTACCTAGTTAAACCTGTATAACGTAATGAGACTGGAGCATGAATCTATATGATATCATGCAATAGCGGAACAAGAAAAAGAGAAAGAATTAATAACATATTCTGAATTTTTGTTTTTTTTTGTTTTGGAAAGATTCTACATATTCTCAAGAGCTCAAAGTAATTGTACTTTTATATAAAATTAAAATTATAAATGCTATTATCAATAATGAAAATAGTATTGGTAATGCATTCATTTTCGAAAACATATAAAAGGAAACCATTATTTAATACACCAGAAAACGAATGGATAGGATGAACGAAAGAGCGAATGAGAGAAATTACGAACTTTTTCTTCTGATATATCTAGGGCTTTCTATCAGAACATCAGAACAATGACAGAAAAATCTTTGAAGAACATTATAACTAACCAATATTGTTCCAAGAAAATTTTCTGACAAAATTAGATATCAACAGTTATTTACTTCTTGGTATCATAAAATTTTCGAAGAAGGCATTAAAATATAGAAATGTCATTTTATATACTTAAAAATTCAATCGTATTTTACTTGAAATAGCAAAAAAGAAGTGTTCTGACAAAAAACCCTGTATACATATTTCTTTTTTCAAACCGATGATTAACCACTAATATCAATTGCAGTTACTCACTTTATGTGCCTATTCTTGGCATTTAAATACGTTAAATTTCTTTAAGTATCTATTTATAATTTAAATGATAAGAATACCCAAATTTCTATTCTAATAAATACTACACAAAATTCACTATAATAAAATATTTCCACTAAAAATATTTATTTATTTTTTAATTAAGATTTCCATATATGTATATAATATTAATGATATTAAATACGAATTTTCCCATACTATACATATATATAAATTTTATATAAATTTTAACACAATACGAAATAACAGTATAACAGATGCAAAATACCACCATCTCAAAGTTTCTATAATTATGTACACTAAGATAGCAACACGTGACTTTTAATAAAAAACAAAAAAACTTTTGTTTGTCAGCAGCAAAATGGAAAAAAAATGTCGCGTATCTGTCCGATTTTTTATTTGCTTATTTAATAATCATAGTTTTTAAAATTATAAAATTAAATTATAAATAAAATTCTAATTCTTAATAATAATAATAAAATAATAATTTTAATATTCACAACGGAATTCTTCCAATATTATTTAAATAAATAAATTTATATGAAACAAGTTTTGAAAAAAAAAAACGGTTCGAGAAAAGCACATTTCATAAAAGAACCATTTTAAAAAGAAAAAGCAAATAATTTAAATTTTGTACCAGAGACAAAACGTTCACAGAAATCAATTTGATTACAGATTTTTAATTTTTTGTTTCAAATAAGTTGAAATTTACAAGTAGACAGAGGAACTACCAAAACCATATTGTTTCATTTCCCAAAAATTTCCAAAATGTGCTGAAATAACAGAATAACAATGTTTGTTTACAATAATGTATTCAAATAAAATAAAATATTTTATGTTTATTTAAATTTTTAATTTAAAATAATTTGCAAAATAAAAAAAAAATTGCATACTTAAAAATAATTTACAAATATTTTCTTTGAAATAAAGTTCTCTTTTTCTGTCACTTTTTTGCTCTCATGTCATGTACTAGTATTGTCTTCTCTTTCTTTTAATAATATGAACATTTTGCCTTGCATTTTTTGTACTTTTTTCTGTTTTCTTTGCTCTAGTTAAGTTAATCGTTAATGGTTTGGTATTGGTTACTTGTTTTTATAAATTTTGACATTAAGACGTAATTAACATATTTGTTGGCAATAATAAGAGTGTTAATTGAATTCAAGTGTCGCAATAGTCACGAGAGACAGAAGACAAAAAAATAGAGTATAATTACATATATAGAAATATGGCAAATAAAATATTGAAGTTAATGTACGAATCAATTGATGAAAAATCAATTTCTATCATACGTAGATACTCATTAATTGAAATGTAAATAGGACTAAATATTAATTACAATGAAATGACAATTAATTTTACTATATCATTATTTGTTTTATTTATTGACAGATCACATGTAATATTCATAAATTTTATAATTCTTTCAAACTGATCAACAATGTTTCTGTAATAAAAATTAATAAAAATTGTTACTAAAACATTTTGTTGCTAACAAAAATTAAACTTAATATTTAATAATTTTAAGAATTTTAATGGAAAATGAATGGTTGTATGCCAAATAAATAATAAAATTTCAAAAGTCGACATTTCAGCTCTTACGACCAGCCATAATAAATGGTTTTATTACACACTTTTTGCGTTTTATTCAACAATACAATATCTAACATCTAGTGTTATTTATGCAACTCTCCCAAATTTAGAAGAACATAATATATCAAATGCTAGTTGAGTAAGAGTTATGTGCAGTTATTTTGGTAGACGGCTTCACATATTAATAAATGTGTAATAAATATGAAATTTTTAATATTTAAATATATAGCATCCTTACTATTCCTAAATAATAGGTTTTCTATACAAAACACTGTTCCATTAACAAAGAACTCCTATAGAGGTATTGTGTAACTCTTGGAGGTGTTGCATTTCTTTAAATGGAATACTTGCTCTTTTATTCTTACCTATTCGCATTTTGGTTGAAAAACAGTTTGATGCAACCTTTTTATTTGACTTTGTGAGATTATATGACTTGTCATTTAAAGAATAATCGACACACAATAATTTCTAATAAATAATAAAATATCTTTTGTTAAAATTTAAACCATGCAAATGTTTTCAAAAATATTTTCATTTTATAAATACACTTTAATTAAAAATTTTGGTATTAAATTAAAATATTTTACAATGTTATTCATTATTCTCTTTAAATGATCTGAAAAACCAAATTGGTAACAAAATTTAATTTCAATTACCTACTCTTAAACATCTGTATATTACCATTATCCCTTTTTATTCACTATCCATACTACAAAATTTCATCAAATTCATCAATCAAAAGCAGAATATTTAAACGAGGACTATACCATAATAATATTTACACATACATATAAAAAAACGCGTTTTTCAATTAAAAATTATAAAAGAAAAATTTAAATTTCACTCAATATAATAAGAATTTCAAATGACCACTAAATTATGGACAATAACATGTGTACATAACAACATACAAATATGCCAACACATGAAAATTGTATAGAAAACAAAAAAAAAAAATATTAAATGTACTTTGTGTCAGAGAAATGTACATTATGCTCATTTAATGTGACTCTCATAAAAATCCTTTTTACGCTCCTTACTTTTTTTGGTTCCTATAAAGTAAAAATAATATAAAATCATATAATAATTCATTATGTCCTGAATTTCATAAAAATTAATTACTACAAAATAATAACAAAAAGGATATATGAAATAATTTTTTTTGTTTTTTTTTACATCTCATTAAATATTTTTACAGCTGAAATGTTTTTTTTTAATTGTTGGTCGCAAAAGTAAATGACATTTCACATCTCAATGGTCATTTTTTAAACCAGAATACAGAAGCAAATTAAAGAGTCCATGACCATCAGACATTTTACAATATTATAAAAATATTTTAGTCGGTTTCATTTACATTTATAGATGTTTACGACTTTTCAATGCGATTATTAAATAATGAGGTAATATTAATTCTTAAAATACTAGAATCAATAATGGAAAAGATCAAAAAATTTAGCAGAATTCAGTAGTCCTATAATCTAGTAAAAAGAAGCTTTCATTTAGTAAAAAATAAATAAGAAACTGGTACCGAAAGTCATGAATTACTTATACACATATACTGCAAGCCTCCATATATTTCACTATCTGAATAAATTGTATAATAAACTAGAATGTGAAAGAATTATTAGATTTCAAATTTATCAATCGACTAGAACTTGTCTATCAAACATTTTAACGCACATTCATTTTCTTCTTCAAAAATAATTCTCAACTATTTATTTACAAATATTTGCCTTAAACTAATGTATGTTTTTCATTGATTTCAAAAAATATAAAAAAATTAAAACCATAATTCGAACATAAATATTTACAACAGTTTTGGTTGACTAGAGTTAAAGAAAAAATATGCAAAAAAAAAATTTTTCTTTTTATTTTCATTCTATAATTAAACAAAACTTATTCTCGGTTTACTCTCTCTTACTCAGAAAACATCTTCAACCACGTAATAAAAAAATCTGCTACAATACAATGTTTTTCGAAATTTTTTGTTATATAGACGGTAAGCCAATCATTTGATTACACAATTGATAAGTTAATCGATCATTTGGCTCCTCAAATGTTGGCTAATCAAAATTATTTATCTTCAACTCAAACTTATGGCACTCTAACTTAAAAATAGACTTTACTGTGTCAATAAATTTAGAATCTTCAATGAGAATTCACTGTGAAGCACAATCGAAGGCAAAATATTAAACGTCACATTACACTATTGTTGTAT